TCGGTGGACTATTAACGCGGATTATTACTGTGGATTCTTAAATATCGTGGTATGGTCCTTTGGGAATATTCGTACCATCTCGAGTCACGTTTAATAATTGTTCCTAACAGAAAGAAGATAGATCTACGTAATAAATATACGAATTAGGCTGGTCGGCGTTCTTTTGGCGGCACACAACCAATGTCGCTCACCGATCGCGAATAGGTCAGACAGAGGTGTCCTCGATTCACACTTTGTTTTGTAAAAATTCGCTGATCGGTATTCTTTTGACGGCACACGACCGTTGTTGCTCTTCTGTTTAACCGTTGACGAGCAGTCGGTCGTCCGCCGGATTTTGCGGGAGTCGGTCGTTTAAAGTAATTTTTACCAGAGATTCGTGTTAATCTATATCCATCCTGAAATCCTGTCACATAACAAGGTCACGGTACCATTGAAGATGATTATTTCTGTGCCAAATCTGACAATCGCCATCATAATTTTTGCGCGCTATAGGTTTGACATCCCTTAAACACCTAACCGTACACTTTCCCACTATTTACCGAATACTGACTACCAATCATCTAATTTGCTCCCCGACATAGTCCAAGTATTATCGTCGCCCCCCGACAGTGCAATTCACGAGGCACACTATAAATTCTCGCGCCTGTATTCGTGTCACACTTTTCCTTCCTTCGCGATTCGGATACCCACGGCTGTGGTACCAGCGGGTATCCGAGAAACGCCCGGCACGTAAAATAATCTCTGAAACTGGCCAACTGCTCCGACACGCTTCGTCGAGCTTGTTTGCGAGCCTAGACTCGGCCACCCGTCAGGATGTGCTCCGATTCTATTCCGTCGAGCAGCAGGAAGTCGCGCTTCCCGCAGCTTTTCGCAGACTAGGAAACTTAAGCGTCCCTCGAGGTAACGATATCACTGGAGAACGAGGATCCTAGCCTCTCATAGTGTTCCACCGAGCACCGTGAATCCGCTGCAAGTATATTCACTTGAGAACGCTAGTTTCTTGTCCGACAGTTCACACTATCATTCTATGACCTGCTTGATAAACAGATAGACCAAGGTTTCTTCTCGTTGTTGAGCATAGAAAACAATCGTAGCGTCCTCATCCCTCGCTCTGTACAAGGTAGAAAGAGCTTGCACCGTTTTGGGATTCATGGCTGGATGGTGTATTAAACTCCGGCAGAACTCCCGAGAGAAGCTCGTCCTTGACACTGTCGAGGATTAAAGTTGAACGAGTGGAGTGGAGTCGTTGCAATCGGCCCTGATCGCGCTGGAAAAAAGGATAACACTGCCTCCCCGGAGCGTAAGAGGTTACAAGCCTCGAGGCCTCGACACTCTTGAACCCACCTCCGCGGAATGTCCACTGCACCACTCAGAGATCACCCTATATATGTTCAGCGAGAAACGCGTCATCCTCGCCTGGCCTTCTTTTCTCAACCGCGCGAACCCGCCCCCCGAATAAAACAGCCTCCGATCGATATATATCGACGCTTCTCGAGCCAGCGATCGAATAAAGCTCGTCACTGTTAAGCCTCGTTTAGGTTCGTTCCTGGTGCTACTTACTGTGTCACGCAAGCAGCGTCGTCGGTGCCGCGCTTCGATGAATTGCGATTCTAGGATTCTGTCGAGTACGAGAGAGATAGGATTCGCGCGAGCGAGTTTGCGCGTCGTCGACTTTCTCCCTTCCGACGCTCTCGCTTTCGTTGGAGGTCGAGAGCGTACCGACGCACCGCGTCGAGGAAGTATCGACGACCGCGAGGAATCGAGAGAGAGAGAGAGAGAGAGAGAGAAAAAAGAGAGATGGAAAGCACGACAAACGCGAGTATCCCGGCGCAAGCGCAACCCGAAACACCGCCCTTCGCGGAAAACCTTTCACTCTCGACTGCTTCCGACGAAGTAACCCCGTTTTTCGGGGATTGCTCGCTCGTTATCCCGTCCCGCCAAGGGAAGGGTCTCGAACGCCCACCGGTTTCCACGAAAAACCAATGAGACACCGCTAGGCCCTGGCTCTCGTTCGCCAATCGATCTACGCCCTCGCGCTGCTGATAATCGCGGTCAAGAGACGACGATTTCAAGGCCAGGAGAAGGGTAACGCGACAAGGGTCGCTTCTATGTTTTGGGACTGCATTCCGGTTACGACGTTTTTAAAATAGGGGTTGTTTACGGTGAACGATATTGTTTGGAGTTTGGAGGTGGCGTCGAACGTTGAAGGGTGGTGGAGCAGAGAAGACAGCACGTCTCGAGGAAAGTGTCGTGCAGGAGACCTGAGAGTGACGGAAATGGAGACAAAATTGGAAGAAAATTTTCTGCATTACTGTATACAGTCGATCCCATAAATATTCGTACCGCCGCCCCCTCCCTTCATTCCTTTACCCAGAAACGAAATCAAACTTTCTCCAGCCAAGAGATTCCGTGAACGATTAGAAAGCCAAAGGACTTTGGCCATGTAACAGCCTCTCCCAAAGAGACGAATATCCTAGAAACCTTGACCATTCGTTTACAAGAAGTACAGAAGAGAAATATACCCCCTGTTTCATAATTGCGATATGTCGGTTACGATACTGGCCGTTGCACAACAAATTGCCAGGTTAAAAAAAGTTTGGCGCGTTACGCAACGCGTGCAACCTTCTGGCTCCACCAACGCACACCGAAACGACTATCACAATAACGACTACAATCGTGCGAGAAGATTTCAGAATGGATATACATTAACACGAATCTCTCTACCAAAAATGACTTTAATTCGGAACGATCGACTCCCACAAAATGTGAAACGAAGCCGAACGATAATGGATGCGTGCCGCCAAAAGAAAGTCGACCAGCTAATTCTTACAACAGGAACGACGCAATTTTGTCAATTATCTCGCGATAACCACGAGACCCTCCGAAACCACATGTGTTTAAAATCGTAGCCTTCTCTCGACGAGCAAACGTTTCAAGGCAGTAAAGAGACGACTCTACCAGCAAGCTCTTTTCCAAGGGAGAGAGGAGTTTCCCAAGCCAAGTTCGAAGGAAAGTGGAAGACTCGGGGAAGGAAGGCCCGAAAGGAAGCTCCAGAGAGAGGAGTAACGTCGAAATCCATCCCGGCAGCGGGGCTGGATCGACTAAAGCAAGGAGGCGCTCGTGGAGGGTAGCCAAGGGCGGCGAAGGGTGTCAGGGACCTCTTTATATGGGCCACGAGATTCCACTTGGTCGAATATCGTCTTAGTTTCGGAGGGTTGGAGTATACGACGCGTGTTATGCGAGTAGGTAGTCACGAGGGGGCGAAACGGAGATAAAGGGGATGGCCGAGTCTCGAGATTGTCGTGGGGGATGAAAACGGAAGGCGACCGTTTTATTCGTTTCCCGTGGAACGAAGACGTCGGCGCGTTTGTTTGTTCGACGGTTAAAGACGGTTTTATCTTTCATCTTCTTTTCGTTTAGGTATCGCGACGTTTCTTGTTTGGCTGCTCAGATTACTGGAACGTGACGGTTTCACCTATGCATGAACGTCGAAATTCTTTTTGAATTAATTACTTGATCGGAAAACATTGAGATGTAATGTATCAGGTGTGGAAATTAGTTCTGTGCCTTTCGAAAGTGCCTTTCCATTTTTCCCTCGGTTGTACACTCCAACGGAGTACACGTAATTATAAATACCGAATGTTGAACTAATCTGTGAATAATTTCAATATTCTGAAGGTTTCTGTTTAAACTAGAGTCATAATTAATGCAACGTCATGACAGAGAATTAATTTCTACACTTCATCTATCTCAACTTGAAAGTCAATGAATCCCAATACTAGGACTGAATAAATACAACACAGTTAATCGATTCTAACGCTTATTCGCGTCCGAGGATTAAACGCCACCGTTAATTGCAACGATTGCGTTTAAAACACATCCTATGTCCGCACGTTGAACGTGTATTCCCGATACAATCTCGAGTTAATCGACGAGTCGCGTCGCTCGTTGCGTCATAACGTCGGTGACTACCGACTAAAGACGCTTTTACTGCGTTTCGCGGAAACCGAACATTCCTGAGACGTTACTTTGTTACGTCTAAAAAATCAAGTATATACGATCGCAAATCGCTGCGATTGCGACCGTCCGGCCTGACGCAATTCTCAACGAAACGACGACGTTGTGCGTCGAGTGAATCGCACCCCCTAGCAAGGGTGAAACGCAGGAGGGAGGGTCCCGACCACTTTACGAGGACCCTCCAAATTTTTAACGATAAATACCCGTCGTAAACCGCGGCAGAATCGGGAGTATCTTCCACAAACGGTCAATAAAAAGACAGAACGGAGCACAAACATCAAAGTCGTCGATAAAGTCGGCTTTCTCTAACATGCAGCTGAGAGATAAGCCCCGGGAACACTTACCTTGCTCGATCGTCGTGCTTCGATGAGGGATTTAGCGCGCGCGTAAAATTCGAAACGGACGTTAAACGTAAATAGAAAATATTTGGAACGTCGGACGCACCGGAAGCTTCTTCGAAAATTAACTATTGCGTGGATTCGAACGTTTACTCTGACTCTGCATGGTGCAGTCTCTGAGATTCGTTCTAAAAAAAAAAAAAAAAAAAAAAACTATACCGAAGTATACAAGTATGCTCTCTCCAAGCCTCAAGTATTACATCAACGAATCAATGACATTTCCTCGCGTGGAATGGATAATTCCGTTATGCAATTTTTACGTGAGTTTCTTCAAACACTTCCTCGGGCGCCACATGTCAGGCTAGTGATCTCACAGGGACAATAAAACAATAATCCCGATAAGACGATAAAACGATCTTTCCCTGCGGTTGCACAAGTCCATACAACCTATAAAACCAACCGATGCGCTCTGTTTGAATATTCCAGTTCGAATATCGTCGAAATTCCATCTCGGGTTAGAGATTCCATTCGCAATTGACGCAACGGGTAAAAAGCGACACACAGACACAAACAGACTGTGAAGATACTCCGATAACGTATTCATGCACATGAGTTGCGAACGTGGAGAGTAGTTGCGAATCCTACCTTACGACGTAATTCACGCAGACGACGGAGAGCGGCTTCTGCTGCTTGGAACAGTGGATGAGGGTGGCCTGTGTCACCACCCATGCGTATCCTCCACGTTTCCCCAAGAATCTGTAGGCCACAGTCTCGCACTGGCCCTTGCTGAACACTGGAACAAGAGTAAACAGGGATATCAGAGGTCCTGTGACGAGTAACTGTGCATCGTGCGATCTGCGCCCTATATACGCGTCTGGTGAGTCGACGCTGCGCGCCGGGGGCGCATCCTGGATGATGAAATTTTAACGCAGGGATTACCAATCTCCCCTCTACTCCGCGATTCTTGCATCGTTTGAAACGTGATTGCATCGATACCCCTTTCCTTAAATTCCTAGGATGATTTCAGAGAGCTCGAGCCATCATCCACTGGTCAGCTATTCAAAATAAAACTAAAGAAAATACAGAGGATCTATGGAAATAAAGCGAAACCCGTCTAACAATAACAGAAACAACTAACAACAATTTCAGTTGCAACAGAGCAGGAGTTTCCCATCGTCTAATCGGTGACCAGTGGATCCACGACTTTAGCTGGGTGATCGATGACCAGTGATCCGTGACACGAGCACAGGTACCTCGAATAGACCCCAAACTACACGACACACCATCGATATCAGACTGACGTACGACCCTTGGAAAAACTGGTACTATTTATGATACGCGGAAACGGTTTTTCGAAAGGACGCGATTTATGGACAGTTTTATTAACAAACCAGACTTTTTTCCACGATATCGCCCCGCCTTCCAGGGAACTGGCCATTCGGTTTTATGGACATTCCCTTTCGTCACGAATTTCGAGGTACTATTCGCTGGATCAGCTTATCGACGCGGCTACGCATCGCGGGTGCCTCGCTATCTCTCGTCCCTTCGCGTGAGAACGACAGATGAGATTAGCCGAGGGTGATCGCGAACGCTGATGCAGAAAATCGAGATTGCCGTCGAAGGGAGCATCCGTGATGTTGGACAGGCGTTCGAGAGGTCTGCGAATCGATAGAGTCGCGTAGCAAGGAAAAAGATATTACGGGGACAGAAAGTTCATCCCGAAGGGATGGAAACATTTCTGAAGCGTTCCTACGATGAAATTGCATAGTTGATTGCTGAGTCTATCCTTCATCAGACCGTCTATTGTTAAGATTGTTAGCATCGGCATTAGAAGAGTATTGTTCTATTCGTCGTTCGTTAAAATCGATACAATTTCGCTCTCCATTTATCATTTATCTCGAGAACGAAACTAGACCGTTCGTACAATGAATTATTTAAATGGAAAGTTCTAGATTGCCCTTCCAGTTTACTTTAATGAATCATGAAAAATTATATCTCGCCCCAGATAAGAAAGAGAAGATTCGTTCGAAGAAATGATTCAGTCATGAGTCGACAGATATCCAAGGGAATAATTTTATAAGTTATATGGCCACGTCGCCACGGGTTGAACGTGCAATTGTGGCCCGGTTGCCAATTAAATCACGCACTCGTAAAAAGGCTCCCTGCTCCTAAAGTCCTGATAAGAGATTGCGGTCTCTGAGATCCTTTGCGGTGTCGTTCACCCGAGCTGGTCAGCCCACTCGAAACCGACAACTCTTCCCACCCAACACCCACGAACTTTGCTTCTTTTTCCCCTCAGCAACCGCGTCGATCGATGCCTCGACACGCTACTTTCTTCCGTATACCTATCCTACACCTCTATACGCTTCAGTTAAACCTCGAACTTGATCGATGTGCATTTGCTAAGATATTTATACGGTTGATAATTGAGTTCAATGCTGTACTTATCAATCGAAAGTATGTAGAACACTTCTTCTATAATGTTTCATGAGGTTTCCAAAGAATATTTGTTCATCAAGGTTGGTTGGGATTCACTGATAAAGCGAGCGAGGCATACGCGCGCGGTTCGCAAATTAGCGAGTGGGTTGCCCAGTGATCGCATT